GAGAGAGAGAGAAGAGAGAGAGAGAGAGAGAGAGAGAGAGAGAGAGAGAGAGAGAGAGAGAGAGAGAGCGCAAGCCAGAGAAATGTCCGAGAAATGGCTTGCGCTCTCTCTCTCTCTCTCTCTCTCTCTCTCTCTCTCTCTTCTCTCTCTCTCCGAAATGTCCCGAAAAATGACACACTAATCAAAGCCCGTGCAAATATACTCTGGAGGCTCTGGAGGGACGCCGATCAGTAGTAAAACCGAGTTGTTGTCTTGTAGACAAAAAAAAAAAAAACAAAGCATTGACTGATACACTGCTCATGGTGTCGATGGTTTCGGGCGTGTCTCCCACGTGACTCCTCCCCGTTACCACCTCCCTGTTCGTTTTTGTTTTTGTCCAGGCGAGAGGACGGTTTCCAGGCGGGAGACCGCCGAGCTGCACCGGCGTCTGCTGGACTCGGAGAGCCGCAACCAGCAGCTGGCCGACTCGGTTGCCATGGCGACGCGTCCGCTGCAGCGCCAGCTGGAGACGCTGCAGGCGGCGCTCAGCTCTCAGCAGCACAGCTGGGAGCGAGCCGAGCGGTCGCTCACAGAGAAAAACGGTCAGTGGGTCAGAGAGGGACAGAGGGCAACACTTTCACTAACGGAGAGAAATTGGCACTTAAGACAACGGTCTGGGCAGGGAAGACAGAAAGACTGGAGGAGCGTTTCGCGAGACGGACGGGGCAGGGTTCGGGAAGAGAGCAATGGTCGGGGATGAGTTGGAAGATGAGCAGTGCGGATGGATGGAAAGAACTCTCTGGAGCGTGAGAACATAAATTGGCATTATCCTGTATACCTTCTAATTGTCTCATAAAAACGCCATACGTCTTGAAAGTCTTGGAAGAAAGCTGGTGCGCTTTCATAAAGGACATACCGCTAAGCTTCAGATGTGACTAACTCCGTCAAATTACGTAAACCCCGCTATAACCCTATATCTTCCCTCCCCCCCCCCCCCCCATACAGTGGATCTGCAGCGTCAGCTGGCCTCCGTCACAGAGCGGGAGCGACACGTCTCGGACCAGTACGTGGAGGCCGCCGCCCGACAGGCGCCCCTGGAGGCCTCGCTCGCTGAACTGAAGGCGGAGCGGGGTAAGATGGCGGACAAACTGACGGCGGTGGAGGCGAGGGCAGCTGAGACGGTCGCCGCGCTCGAGAGGTGAGGGATTGTAGTGAGGAGTAAGGGCGGATTCGCATAGGATAGGGCAGTAATGATGCTGGGCTAACAGAAGAAGAGCAGATTTTTCCCATACGCCGAGATATCCCTTTAGCATTATCCTAATAATAAAATATAATAATAATAAAATATAATAATAATAAATAATAATAATAAATAATAAAATAATAATAAAATATAATAATAATAAAATGTGGTTTAACAATGAAGCAAAAAGGAAGATTACAAAGAAACACCGTGCTTGGAATGCCTACATGAGGGCAGAGAGGTTAAAGCTACCAGAGTTGGAAAGATATAGAAAGAAATACATCAAGGCAAGAAAAAGGGCTCATTATGGTCTACGTAACATCAAAGCAAAGCACGAAGAAAAACTTTTTCATCAGATCAAAACTAATCCAAAGCTGTTTTATGCGTACTGTAACTCCAAAAACAAAGTTCGAGAGCCGGTGGGGCAAGTTACTAAGGCAGACGGAACCCCATCATCATCATATGAAGAAACTGCCGCTGCCCTCAACCAACACTTCAAGAATGTTTTCACGTTAGAAGATGATTCTGACTTGATTTACGCCAACGAATTCTTCTCCTCACTGTCAGACGAGCAAATGTGTCCTTTCACCCACTGTCGGCATCCAGATGTGCCCGAATTACATTCAGTTGAAATACCTCTTCAACATATCATCAAGCTACTGAAAGAGCTGAAGTCCTACAAGTCACCAGGGCCAGATGATCTTCACCCACGTCTCCTAGCTGAACTCGCAGAAAATGTAGCAGTACCCCTGAGGATCATATTCAAAAACTCGATGGACACTGGACATGTCCCTCGTCTATGGAAAATGGCATACGTCACAGCAGTCCATAAGAAGGGATCAAGAACTGAAGCCCAAAACTATCGCCCAATTAGTCTAACCTGCATATGTAGTAAAGTGATGGAAAGAATCGTCAATGAACAAATAATGAGTCATCTTTTGCAGAATAACATTTTGAACCCACGCCAACACGGATTTGTTTCCGGAAGGTCGTGTTTAACAAACCTCCTCTCCACCTTGGAAGACTGCAGCCGCAGCCTCGAGGAAAAGGTGCCTACAGACATTGTCTACCTAGACTTTGCGAAAGCTTTTGACACCGTACCACATGCAAGACTTTGTCATAAATTATACCGATCAGGAATAGGCGGTCAGCTGCTTAACTGGCTTGAAGACTTCCTCTACGATAGGAAACAGAGAGTTGTAGTCAACGGAGCCCACTCAAGCTGGGCAAAGGTGGCAAGTGGCGTCCCACAGGGCTCAGTGATCGGTCCCACCCTGTTCCTTCTGTTTATTAATGACATGCCGGATCAAATAGTAAGCCAGGTGCAAATTTTTGCTGATGACAGTAAAATCTACCGACACATCAAGTCACATGAAGATGTGGAGCGTTTACAAGAGGATCTCCAAGAGATTGAGCACTGGTCTCGTCAATGGAAGCTATGCTGCAATGCCTCCAAGTGCCAGACGCTTCGAATCGGTACCAAACAAATGATGTCCGACAGACCAGTATACATGCTCGGTGGTACTCAGCTGGAGAACACCAACGAGCAAAGAGACCTGGGTGTTATTGTTGACTCCTCGCTGGAGTTCAACAAACATATTAACAAATGCACTCAACGAGCATATGCCAGTTGGGGCATGGTAAGGAGAACCTTTGAAAAGCTGAGGCCGGCAATGTTTACTCTCACATACAAAACATTTGTTCGCCCTCACATTGAATTCTGTCCCCAAGCGTGGTCTCCATATAAGAAATATAATATCAAGAAGATTGAAGCAGTTCAAAGAGCAGCTACCAGAAGAGTTGTGGGAATGCAAGGGTTAGATTATCCAGAGCGGCTGAGACAGCTAAAGCTTACCACCCTAGAAGAGAGAAGAGAACGGGGAGACTTACTGGAGACCCACAGAATCCTCCACCAGCTCCACGAGTGTGACCTCACCCAATTATTTAACGTTAGAAACCGAACAGAGCAAGATTACCTCAAACTGTACAAGCCCCACCACCGAACATTGAAGAGAGGAAGATTTTTCTCACAAAGAGTTATAAATAAATGGAATTTGTTAAGCTCTCGCATCAAGATGGCAAAAACATCTAACCAATTTAAGTCAAGATACGACAAACATCGGGCAGACAGACAAGACTGACCCAAGAGAAATCAAACTGATGTAGAAGAACGTGTAATTCAAAAAAGAAATGGGCTACAACATAGACCTCGACGTCTTCTTCCAGAGCCCAAACAACCTTGATTCTTGATTGTTCTTGATTCTAGCCGTGCGGTAAACATTTGCACGTGATCTTTCCTGCACTGTTTTCCGGCACGGGTTGATGACCTACAGTTCTGGTGATTTTTTAATAAAAATCTTAAAAAAGGTGATTTCAGTAATTAAATTGTGAGTTTCTGAATAGAAATTAAACGACGTATGGGAAATATCTTACTGAACTTGCTCTGGGAAGAAAAATGGAAACCTCGGTCCCCTCGGTCTTCAAAAAATCTCCGGCACCCGGCTACGCCTCGTGCCTGCAATTTTTTAAAGACCTCGGTTTCCATTTTTCTTTCCCAGAGCCGCTCAGTAATATATAATCATGGACTCTTCACAGATTAAATGCTATTGCGGAAGTTTTGCATTGCACCTCCTGTGCAAAACATATCTTCGTCAACCTTTGTATTGTTATTCATTATTCGGTCACAGCGAATCGTTCAAAGTGAGGTTGGCGAGTCCATAATTGTTTCGTTTTTTTTTTCATTGTGTTCTGAACTGTAAATCATCGCGTTTTGTTGCGTGAAATGTGTGCTTGTGCGTTTTTTTTTTAATCAGCAATCACCATTGAATAGAGGATATCTTCGAATGAAAGAGACTCCGCGATATTAAGCATCAGTGCTGGCTCCCCATGAACTCCAACCTCGTCGTGTCCCCGCCAGGTGCCGCTCGGAGCGGGCGGCCTCGGAGCGTCAGCTGGCTGCTCAGCTGACTGAGCTGCGGGTGTCCCAGGACGAGCTGGAGCGTCAGCTGGCGGCCGAGCGGGCGGCACTGACCGCGGAGAGAAGCCGTACCGCGGCGCTGCAGGAACAGGTTAAAGCTGGGTAGAGGGTGTCCCGCTGCCTCCTAATTTCGGGAGTGGTAGAGGAGGGGCGTTTGGCTGACGTCCTTGGACGTAAAGCCATGAGGAAAGAGGAGTGGTTGTCACCACCACTCTAACTTTCCCTGCATTCCTCGTCCAGTATCGCGAGTTACTCGTAAGTTCAACCCCAGCTGGCCTTGAACTGAATCGCCTTGCCTTCAGATGCAAAAGCGCAGCTATGATCTCCGATTTGACGCCCTGCAATAACCAACTGGCTTTCACGCCTCATGTCGGGCAGCTAACCTGACCCCCCCTCCCCTTCCCCCTCCGCAGGTCCAGGAGCGCGGCCGCCAGCTCTCTCACTCGCAGTCTGTGGTGGAGTCTGTCACCAGTCAGCTCAGCACGCCCCGCACCTCACCAACGCCCAGCCTGTCGAGGATATCCTTCTCCAGCTCAATGCACGAACTGGTGAGTCAGTGAGATGGGTGGAGAGTTACGTGAGTCGGGTGATTGTTCGGTGAGTTATGTGAGCTAATAACGAGCTAGTCAGCCACATCGGTGAGCTATTAGGCCGGGCTGATGAGTTGGCGAGCCATTTGATGATTCAGAAAGCTGGCAAACTGCTCAGCGAGTTAAATTATAGCACCGCACACCCGTAACGTCATTTAGCGTTCGTTGTGACAATAACTGCATGGTGCGTCGGTGCATGATTGGACTGGCCGCGCGATCCCGAGCTGGTCGAGGTGGTGGGGGCTGCTCAGAAGCCGTGTGGAGTCGGGGCTTTGTGTGTGTGTGTGTCTCGGACGCCCATACTGCTCTGCCTGCCCGTTGCATGTGTCTGCTGGGTGCTGGTTTAGTTTGTTTTCTTGCCTGTGCTGAAATGTTTGGTGTGGGGAGGGTCCGGACTTTGCACGTGGTATGTTGTTCGACTGGAGATGAATTAGGGCATTCACACAAATAGGACACATTTTCACGGTCAGTGACGTGGATGTCTAAAGTATCTTCTCTTCATCAACTGTCATCAAACAAGCTCATCAGTGTTGATATTTATTGGAGTACTTCAAGGCTACGCATTGCCTCCAGATAAGCTTACAACACCGTGTCTTACGTCATATGTTCACACATTCTGCTTTTTTGTCCGTCCTTCTAAACGCACCTAGCACACTTGCACAGACTCTTACTTGCACTATCATTGGCACACAGTCTTCACAGCGTGTCCATGTCTAAGGAAGTCACCTGGCACATGTTACAATGTCTTTTGTTCGGTGGGCTCACTCTTGCCAAATTCTACCATTTGTTTTTCTTGATATGTACTTTTTTGCTGCGTTCTACCACCTCCACTGTAACCCATAGAAGTTTGTTGTATGAATTCATTTTTATGCGGTAGTCCGATTAGTCAATTTTACATGAATGTTCACTTTACATGAATTTGCAATATTCGCGCCCAGTCCTTATTGACCGTCACTATGCATCATGCTAAATAACTTACTTAGGGACGCCCCCTAACCCCGTTAGATTAGACCATATACCTCTGTACACCAGTTCAGACCTCTGTAGGTGTACAGACGTCTATGATTAGGCGTTTGATTGCACGTAAAACTTCACGTCGCATTGCGTGAATTGATGCGTGAGATACGCGGGAGGTTGAACATCCCTGTAAATTCTGGCATGTGTTTGCCACTAACATCATGAACCCCCGAAGTCCACACGGGTTGTAGCGACTAGCCCGCGAGTCACCCGCTGATACAAGTTTGCCTGTGTGTGCTCTACTAACGAATTCCGTCTCGCCCCGTCTGCTGGGCGATGGCCAGGCGGCGGCACGGCAGGCCACCAATGCGGTGAGTTGTTGCTCGATAATCGGGCAGTGGGCGGGGGTTGGTGTTAGCAGAGCAGTCCGCCGCTTGCATGTGTAGATATTGTGTTGGAAGCTTGGGTTCTGGTTTACTGTGATTGATGATTTGCGTACCTTACTGCTTGAGATTAAATCATAATTTCCCCGCTTTGAAATCGTAAGTCTCCACTTTAGAGATATTCACTCCGCTGAGCTATGAGAATATCCACAAAATTCATAGATCGAGATCTGCGTCTATCTGTCAGCTCTCGTTTGTCCGCCTCACACTTGTCTTGTCACTCCTGCCCCCCCCCCCCGCCGCCCCCACTGACCTCTGTTACCCTCTGCTGGCCCCAGGACAGTGTGTTTGACTCTGCCACGCCGCGCGCCTCGGCCGGGATCAGTCTGTACGACTCTGTCCGCGCGGCCGCCGCCGGGCCCGGAGGAGCGTCCGTGGTGGAGTCACTGACGTCACAGCTCAAACAGAGAGACGGTTAGTCGGAGGGGAAAGAGTAAGGGAGAGAGACAGAGTACGTTGTTACAGAGGAAGGAATCTTAGGTGGAGGGTTGTCTTTGGGCAGGGAAATATTTGAGGATATATTTGACGAGGATGGACTTATGATGACTGGGGAATAAATATATTTATGGTGATATGAGGAGACTTTATGTAGACTGTAGACTGCCATGCTATTAGTCAATTTCATCACCATATTTAATTCTGAGCTGCTATGCTTGAATGCCACTAGGTGTGGGTAGTTGAAAAAGAGGAGGGATAATCGTAAAGAAGATTGCGCCAAGTATGTTGCTACAATCAGAAAAAAATGACGTCAAAATATCAAGTAGTCCATGATTCACATCACTCTCGCAGAAAGACATATGTGTCGTCAGCAAACAGATGGCTTGTCTCTTTGACTTGCTCAAACAGTCGGCTTGCCGCTCCCCCATTGACCGCCAGTTGACCTCGCCCTCCCCTCCTCCCTGGTCAGGTGAGGTGGCCCAGCTGCGCTCGGAGCGGTCGGACCTGGAGCTGGCGCGCCAGCAGCTGAGCGCCGAGCTGGCGCGCGTCTCGGCTCAGCTGGAGACCGCCTCGGAGGCCGGCCGGCGGCTGCAGGCGCAGACGGCCGAGTACCAACAGCTGCAGGCCACCTATAACGCCCTGCTGCAGGTGCGGGAGGGAGGGGGGTCGGTATGACGGGGGAGGGGGAGAGGTATGACGAGGGAGGGGGAGGCAGAGGGGAAGGGCTTTTCCTGCTTCTCCCATTCCATTCCATTCCAGTGTATTTTAGTAAACAAGGATCAAATAAATGTACAGAGCAAATAAGGGATCGGCGCAAAAGCATCGCTTAAATTAAAGCGCCTCTCCGAAGAAGAACATAAAATTGACAATGCTAACCTAACCGATACCTGAGGCCAGACGACGCTAGCCCCGCCAGCAACCCTCCGAGCAACAAACGAACCGGGTCAAGGCGCCCGGGCCCGAGCGACAGCAGCTAGGCCAGCGTGCTTGGGTGTGAGTGGGTTACCTAGTGTTGGGTGTTAAACCGGCGTGAGTGTGCGATGTATGAGTGAATGTGGAGAGCAACAAGTGTGCCCTGGGTTTCAGAAAGGTCGTTTCCATATAGAAGAATGTTAAGCTTCTGTCTACTTGGTAAGTTGTCAAAATTTGGAACGATTGGTCGAACGGCGTTAAAGAGTATTTGCCTGTGGTTTGTGTAAAGGGGGCACCAGAGCAAGTAGTGTGCTGTGTCTTCGTGTTTGTAGCCACAGGAACACGCTGGAGTTGGAGTGAGTTGGAGTGTGAAGAGATGTGCGTTGAGTGTAGCTAGGCCGACACGTAGTCGTGTGTGTTGTGTGTTGAGTGTCTTGGTGCCAAATGAGTGAAGTGCTGGTGGCTCTGGTGCCCCATATCGCTGCCAGACTTGACGAGAGAAATCGCGGGGAGATCGGGTGTCTCGAAGCGATTCGGGAAGAAGGTTCCATTGTCGGATGGTGGCAGGGATGTAGGATCTGCGGAAAGAGGTTAGACGGGTGGGCGGGAGCGATAGGAGTCGTGCGTTGCGCAGTCGAAGTCCTGTGGCGTCTTGTCTTGTGTCTGTCAGAATATTTGTGAGGTATGAGGGAAGAGGGGGGTAGTTGTAGTAAAGACGATGAAAGAATAGTAGCTTGTGAATTTGTCTCCTCGTCTCTAGTCGTTCCCACCCCAAGTCTTTGAGAAGTGCGTCAGTCGGTGTTCGAAATAAGGCCCCGGTCACAAGTCTTGCACATCGATTTTGTAATATCTGGAGTCGCATTATGTCGTGTGAGGTGATGTTGCCGTCAAACACAATGTCACAATAATCAAAATGTGGTCTAATGTACATGGTATATATTTCGTTGAGAGTTGTTCTGGATAAAAATTTGGCAACTGGGTAAATTGGCCCTAGAAGAGAGTTGGCTGTCTTTATTACGTAATTAATATGCTGGTGGAAATGTAGGTCAGTGGAAAGGTTAAGTCCAAGATGTCTATGTTGAGTAACTGGAGTCAGTTGTTTTCCATCGAAATAAAGTGTTAAGTTGTCATTTTCTAGTCTGTTGGTAAAGGTTTGTCGTACCGTCTTGTCAGCATTAAATGTTATGGCCCAGTCTAATCCGTACTGTCGTATTAAGTCAAGGTCTCTTTGTAGTGATTGTTCATGTTGCTGGCTGTGTGGTGGATGTGCTAAATATAGTGAAGTGTCGTCCGCGTAAAATAGTGCTTCGTTTTCTGTTCGGTCGGAAAGGTCATTTAAGTACATCGAAGCGAGCAGAGGTCCAAGGACCGAGCCCTGGGGGCAGCCAGCCTGTATTTCTTGTGATGCTGAAATGCTAGATTCAACTCGAACAACCTGACTCCGGTGTTTAAGGTAAGATTTTAGCCATGCCAATAAGTTCCCTGAGATGTTGTATTGAATTTCGCATTTTTCAATGAGTCCTTCGTGCCAAATTTTATCAAAGTACTTTGAAATATCCAGGAAGATGGCTGTGAAGTCCTTGTTTTCGTTTAATGCTGAGTATAGTTGATGCGATAGATAAACAAGTTGGATGTGCGTGCTATGGCTTGGCCTATAGCCGCTTTGTTTTTCAGTCAAAAGATCATGCTCTGAAAGGTGTTCATATATTTTATTGGGATTATCAGCCATCCGGTTTTCTTGTTCAGCCGTACCGCTACAAACACTGTCCCCCTTACCCTTCAATGGGCATTATGGGACTGCAGCTGCAGTGTCACTGAACTACAACCATTATAGCCAAGCCCACTGCATCTCTATGCTTTGCTGATGAATCGAGACATATAACCTTCACGGATCTAAGCTGTATTTGCGTGACCTGACCCTGTTCCTCCCCTCTCAGATAAATGGAGAAGTCGCTCTGTCTGTACTCTGGCCTGATCCTGCTATATTTCTCCCATATCGACGGAATGAGGAAGACATACAGGAAAGCAAGTATACGGGCTCGAGCTGTCCATACGCTATCCAGACCCGCCCCTATCCCAACCCCTCCTACACTCCAATAGTTACTCGCTGACTCCACTGACCCATTCCCTCAGATGTACGGAGAGAAGGCCGAAGAGTCTGAAGAGCTCAAACTCGACCTAGCTGACGTCAAAGAAATGTACAAACAGCAGATCGATCAGCTGACAAAGCGAGGAGCCGGCGGCGGCGGGTCGTCCTGAGCCTGGCGGCGACTGCGGCGCACCTGGGGCGAGCTGTGGGCCGCCTGGACCGGCTGCCAACCGGCAGGGGAATCCCTTCAGCTGACAGGGGGATCCCTTCAGGTGATAGAGGGATCGGGTCAGGCCATAGGGGGATCCGCTCGCCATTCCAAAGAATCCCTTCCTGACGCCCAAAGCGAGATAGAAGCGTCTCCACAGCGTGATGAAGGTAGCTCCGATTCTTCTGATCACCCAGCCATGTCGCTAAGATTGCTATCTGATAGCGAGATAGCGACAATTTCTGAGGAGAGCGAACCACTTCTATCGGGCGAGAAATGTGGGCAGAGTGAGCCTGGAATGGCATGTGATAGACAATGAGCATTTGGGGCCAAAGTGGTGGCCGCAAGGGCTGGTTGTGTCTCGGTTTGTATGATATGAGGAGTTATATTGATGCGTGGAGCTGGTATAGTTGTGGGAAAGTGACAGCGTTCTGGGCTCAAGGCTTCTGTGGACTGGGCTTTATGCGTCGTGCTAGGGTAATCTGTGGACTGGGCAAGTGCTAGGGTAATGGAATGAGAATCTATCCGGACTCAACAAGCCGCAGTCCATGCGTCCTGATTTCGAAGTTAAACCACACCACGGGTTTTTTCTAGAGCCCATTAGCTCGTAATGCGGCCATAGTCCGCATAGGCTCATATTTCTCCCATATTCTCGAACATATGCTCATGGTATGAGCCGCAGTGCTATAAACTGCTATATTTTCCCGTTGGTATCCCGCCTTGGTGTGGGCTTAAAGTCGCACGGCAGCACTGAGAAGCTGCATTTACTCCAAGACCGCAAGGTGGCTAACGACGGGAACCTGTACCGTTGCGAGGGGACGGGGCGACTCCCAATGCGATAAGCAGTAAGCACGCATCTCAGTGCTGGCACAGGGCCACTCCATCGCCCCGCAACTCGTGTTGATGCCCTGCGGGTCGCCGCTGGAGGCATCTCTGGGGCGAACATTATTCCCGTGGCGTTGTAGCCTGGGTAGAGACCCGCGGCGCTTTTTCCCCAAGTGGCTTATAGACAGAGGATGGCTTTACACTTCGCCCAGACAGCTGGAGCTATCAGTGCATTTACGCGGATATGCGGGACTACACATAGGGCGTCCGGCAGTTTGCTGCAACCTGATGGCGTATACCATATTATACTGACGCTGGCGTTTATTTTTATACCGAACGGGCTACACGGGACCGTCCTCCGCTGAAGGCTCGCTATGAAAGTGGAAGGGGTTGCTCGCTATTTTAGCGTAAGGCCGCTCATGATGGGGGTAGGGCGCGCTTGCTATTGAACAGAGAGACTTGTTCGCTATGATAGCGATACAGCCCGCTCAGTTGTGATAACTTGTTAATTTTCGGCGAGGCATGGCAGGGGCCGGCGCCCCGCTAAAACGGAGGCCGTTGCTACATACCTACCTAGCGCGAGTTTTGTACATAACCAGGCCGTTGTCGTGTGTTTGGTTGTGCCCAGGTGATAGGTTCTGTGCTCCGCTTTTGTTTTTTCGAGTGTGTACCGGAAAATTGTTTGAGATCGGTGGCTTGTTCCGTGCCGTAATGTTTGTTTGAGTGATCGTGCGCTTGCCCCCCCCCCCCCCCCCCCCCCCCCCCCCCGGAGTCTTGTTTGATGGGCGCGGCTTACCCCGTATCCGTGTATGAATCCGGGTGCTTGCTTGTTTGTTTGTGCGCCGGTTTTGTTGTGTTTGTCGGGCGTTGGTATCGTGTGTGCAATCAGATCGTTTTTGCCGATTATTTATGATTATTTATCCTGTTATAGCCCTGATCGCTGCTGCCCGGGGCCGCTCAGAGTGTTACGTTTCCAAAGGTCGCGGCGGCGCGGATGGACAGAATATATTTATACTCGGCGTGGTGATATAACTGCCTGTTTCAGAGCGGCTTTGGAAGAGCCCTGGGCCAGCTGACTGATCAATGACGTCATATATCAGACCGCTCTCACAGCTGAACCCTAATGACGTCATGATCCGCCCCACACGCTGTGGTATGTTACATTCGATACTGTCACACTCCAGCACACCTTCACAGCCGGGCCGATGACGTCACACCCGTACAATGTATGACGTCACACTACCAGCTTTACCTCAGCTGTGCAGTTACATGATACGACACACTAGCAAGTCTAAACGAAACACTATCTCCAAGTTCAAACGCACGACAATACAAGACAGGATAAGCAACCGAGAGCGTTTGTACCAACACAAAAGCAGCAATTCATACGCTTTATACACAACAGTCGTACTTCAAACATGCCTCGCAAGATAAATACACACTGACACTGGAACATGGCCAGCAACTGCGGACACTGTACAAATGCAGTCAAAGGCAGCTTACAGACGCGGCAAAGTTGGGTACCAAATCAAACATGTTTCAATGCTCACACAGCGCAGTCTCAAACATATAAAACACTGGAAAACTGGGGGTGGAGGAGTCTGGCTCGTCGAGCTGCGAGTCCGCAATATTCAATTGGTGTTTGCATGATAAAGTTCGTCCTTTCGCCAGACTACGGGTGCCGTCAGTGAAAGCAAGTTTAAACTGTTATGCTTGCCGACGCTGAATTACTGACATGACGGTTGCATTACTGACGCCAATCTGGCCCTTGCTTGCTGGCCGATAGACGTTTAAGTCGGCGTGTCTGTCCCTGTCTGCCTCCGCTGAAGACTGTTCACTTCACATCGTTCTTACATGGAAGTTCATTACCGGAGTAATCCCCGCCTGCCGCCGACTGCGCCAGTTCCAGGACATTTCTCAGCTGTCTGCGTCCCCTGCCTCTTCCCAAACCGCTCCTGGTGCGTCCCGCCCGCCGGCCGCGGGACCTGCCTCCCCTGATCGCCAGAAGTCTCCCTCGGCTGCCGATCCCACCTCCTCGGATCGCCAAAAGATCTCCCTCGCGGTCAAGCGCTTCGCGTCGTGTCGGTCTACCGCGCGGGAGCAGGCCTCGTCTCTTCCGGGAACAGTAGAACTCAACCTCTTCCGGAATATCGCATCCGTGTACCGTCACACTGGAAATGTCGCCGTTTGTCTCACTCTCACCCACACTCAAATCTAGTTTCTCTGAGGCGACGTCTACTCGATCGTCCTCAACACAACGTTCCATGTCTCTCGCGGTATGCACTGTTCGTTTTCTCATACCACGCATCGTCCGCTGTCTCGCATCACTCGCAGTCCGGACATCGGTCGAGTTCTACTTCTTCCAGGAGTAGACGAGTTCCAGCGGTCTGCCGACGCGCCAATATTTCTCACTGACCTGTTCCAAGCTGAGGTCACCGGGAAGGGTCACAAAGTGACCCGGCGTGGGCGATACGGCGATGGTGAAGTTGGTCAGGGTGCCGGCCAGAGGCGACTCGAGGTCCAGCGGCAGGCGCATCACCAGGTATTTGGTCAGGTGGTCCACTGAGGGGAGAGAGGAGAGAGCGAGTCAGAATATGGCACAGGACACTCGAGTGTACATATGTGATGAACTAACGTGTATCACACGCCGAGGAAACAACCTGGCGTACATGTCGCACAAATTTGCGTTATCAACGTTCCAGATATATCGATAATTTCATACATCAAACATTCTGCCAAAATAGTCACAGAGACCGCATTATCAGCCCGGAGAAGGACCGCTCCGGTTGTTTTTCAATAGAAAAACACAATTCTAACGAATAGTGTTTGTCAATGAAGAAACAACCTGCGGTTACATTATTATGTGTTTATCGTCACAAACCCATTTGATCAATCACAACTCACGAAAACGAAAAAGGGTTTATATCATGAGCGGAAAACTTCGATCCCAGTCAGTGCACCGGCGGTCGTCGCTCCCTCCATGCTCCCTCCCGCCTGCAGTGGCCGTGTTACCTGTGGCGTTGGCCGTGGTCTTCAGGTACCGGACGGCGTTCTCCTTCAGGTCCTTCAGCAGCGCCGTGTCGGCGCTCATCTCCACCGGGTGCGGCTTGAACACCTGTGGTAGAGAAGAGGAAGATTAGCTTGGGTGTCAAGACTAAAACAGTTGCACAGATTATCGACACTTTAACTTTACTACGCATCCAGTAAGATAGGGGCATGGAGCAAACGCAAGCGATTATCAAAAAACAGCATAGGTACGGATTTGCACTCGAGAACTTTACACTGGAAAAGACATACGGACTCTTAACAACATTACGCTCAAGGAGGCACACATACTAATCTCTTTTATGCTTGACCAGAGCCACGAGCAGGTGAAACCATTCTTCCCATCCACTGGCCAATGATTTGTAGCATCTGACCTTCCCTTCCCTCCCCGCACTACTCACCAGCTCGATCTCAGGCACGGCGTTGCTCTCCTCAGCCGCGTCGCCGTCGTTACTGGTCGAGGGCGCCTCCAGTCCGGAGGATTCGTTCTCCGATGTGAGCTTCGGCCGTTTGGAGCTGGGCGGCGCTGCGGTCGTTGAGGTCTCCCCGGCACCGGTGGTGGGTGGCTCCGCGGGGGGCGCCGCAGCCGCCGCGGGAGGAGGTTCGGGGGCGCCGGCCGGAGCTGTCGGAGGAGAATTGAAAAATGATCGTTTTACGACCTCAGTGAATATTGTTGTGGTATATGAAATGGATGGCAAAGTTATTTCTAAAAATGGTCAGCTTGTAAAAGCATGACATTTTGACGCAAAGTTCGGGAACAACCCTTTCATTATTGCCATTGACGGTTATAAGCAGTTGATCCTTCCTGCTAAAAATATACAATTCCCTGACGTATACCAATTACCAACCGCCCAACCTTTTAAACATCGAAACAAGTTTACTTCTACTGAAATACAAAAGAAATCACTCACTCTGCGGGGTGGCCTCGACGGGTGTGGGCGGCGCGTGGCTGCCCGGGTTACTGGAGTCGTCCGCGGCCGGCTTCTTTCTGTTCTGCCGGTTCTGCGCCTGGATTTTGATCCCCTCCTCGATCGAGCTAACCAGCGCCGCCTGACTGTGACTCTTGTTCAGCTTGGCCAGGACTCGCTCCTGATGCGCCTCGTACTCATCGCGACTCGGGTAGATCTTGGCGATCAGATTATCAAAGTTCGGGTCGGGCCGGAGTGAACGTTTCGAGACGAGTTTCTTCCGGCAGGTTGGGCACTCTTTGTTGCCCGATCGGAGTGCAGTGATGATGCACTCGTTGCAGAAGCGATGGAGACACTCCTTGGTGGTCATCGTGTTCTTCAGCATGTCCAGGCAGATGGGACACATGAGCTCGCTGTGGAGGCTGCGTGGCGACACGGCAATCACAGTGTTGTCGACGACAGGTTCCTGCGGCGTGCGGTGCAGCTCGTACAGGGACAGCTCCCATGTCTTGTTGGTGCCCGATGAGTCCGTGCTGACCGCCATACTGGAACAGGCTGTCACAGAAATACTGCAGAAAGACATATGGCATCAGCGGTGGCAGATCAGAGGACACAGGGTCAGATCGAATTGGGCAATGCTGAATTATCCCTCTCCACATATTTATTGTGGAGAGGGCATATTTAGGTATTTATAAAATTAGTTCAATGTTTGACAGGACAATGGACAGACCCAAAGCCAAATGCCAATGCTAAGCTGGCAAAGTTATCATGATAATGCAGCTGCAGCTGGCAAAGTTATCATCATGCATTATTTCTAATTTTGAAATTTGAGTTGTGTTACTGTTGAGATCATGGGATCAAATCCCATCGGCTTGAGAAGTGGATTACACCATGAAGGCCATGTGAAGACAACACTGATTGGTGATGAATAATGTTGCAGCTTGGTGTTTGACGAGATGCTTTGTTCAATCCAAATCTCTTGTAAATTGCACCATGCCTAATATTTGCATTTGATCGGAGGGGCTAAATAATTCCTGGGTGGACAAATTCAACCAACAAATCTCACATCAAATAGCTTAAATTAATTCATCTCAAATTCATCCACACAGGTCACAAAACACACCAACTCAACAACGCTGACGGCTGAAGGTACCAAAAGACAATTAATACATATTGATATGGACATACATTGTTGAAAATTCATAAATACACCTTTGAACTTTGAAGTGACAGCAAAAATAAAATACCAACCTGAACCACCAATTCAAATATCAATATGAAAATCTAAATCCAGCCTATAAACGCAGCCTCCCAGCCTCACAAACACGAAGGCATAATAATTAATGTTCAATACGCTATTAGTAGAAAAAGTTCAAAAGCGACATCTCACCTTTCTGAAGAATGATTCGCTGACAGTCTGATATCCTGAGGACAGACACTGAAATTCCGCTAGCGATAGATCATCGAACAGCGCTGCGCCATAGTTTGCCTTTCCAAGGATTGCTGAATGACCATTGAATCGGGGATAATTTTTGATGACATATTTTCCTATTTATTTACGGTTTTCCAAAAAATAATGATATATTTATGCAACCAACTGTATTTTACTGAATATTAAGATATTATTCTGCAATAAAATGACCTATTGTTAGTTATTTGAGAACATTTTGAGATATATTTTTCCACATTTTACCTCATTTTTGACAGTTTTCATTTAGCGGGAAGCTGTTGACATGTTTGTGTTGACCGAGTTGGGAGTTGGGTGGTGAGTATTTAGTTGTGAATTATTTGTAAATCTGTTGGGCTATCTAATTCTACACAACATTTATGTCATGATAAGCACCGGAAATATCCTACTTTCCTTGCTGAATTTGAGAAATGCAAGAACATTTCTATTTTCTATGCAAGAACATGTCTCAGCTCATTAAGTTTCTCCCTTTTTTTGGGGGGGAGGGGGTATGGTAGGCATTCATTCTGTTGGTTTACCCCAAGTTCGATGACTCTTGGACGGCGAAGATTCGGTGTCGTCCGGCCAATCCCGCTCAAGGTCGGTCGGGGCTCGGCTGCGGTTATGGAGCATAATTGGCCGTTCAACATAGAATCTTTGTCGTCTGAGAGACATCAGATTATGCTAACATGGGGTTAATGTGCATGCTGAGCCAATTAATTGTCTCCACAATTTTTGGCTCATCATGTTAATGGCTTATGGTGCTTACAAGCAGCTTCAGCACATTCAAGTCTTGAGCTCAAGACTGCTAGCCGCAAGGTGTGGTATCAGCCGACAGAGTTGATGAGTCCAATTAGCTAATATGATTAAACCTCACCAGCCATTAGCAAACTGACACATAATCCATGCTTGATAAGATCAAGAGTAATAATGTATACCACAAATTATAGATATTTGTTCTTTTGATATGGAAAACTCACTAGGTCAATTAGTTCCTGGCAGATGTGGTTATGTCTCTATATGTATAGGTACCATTTTCTTGAACAATGATGGGCCTGAACAGCAGTTTACCGAGGTTCCACATCAGGACTTGCACTGCTCCATGTGATTTGTGAACTCTGCAGCGCCAGCATCAGGCCATGGTAAACCTGCGCTGCACGGTGTGCTGACTGAGTGCCTCCACACTGATGAGATCTTGCAAATATCATCATACTTTGCAGTTTGGGCTGGACTCTTTTTAGTTCCTGCTGCTGAGATCAGCTGAGACTGCTAATGCTTATTTCCACAGAGCACAACTATTTGTACATGGGTCAGGCTACTAGGGAGTTGTCAACATGCTTTACTTATTTAGTGATTCACACAGTCAGTTGTCTTGACAGGAATGTTCTCTTTTTCAGGAAAGGCATAACTGGACAGTGGAACTAAGTGGATGGTGACTTTGAGAAGCCTATACCACATTTATCAAAAATAGAAGTGACAAAACAGGTGTTCAAGCACATCAAATATCCCTTAAAGACTGTCATTAAAAGCAGGGGCCAAAACCCACCCAAAGTTGGGCTACTTTGAGACACCAGCAGCCTCTCATTGCTAGCGCCATGCCGTGCGAGGTGATCACCCTCCAGCTGGGCCAGTGCGGCAACCAGATCGGCTTCGAGTTCTGGAAGAAACTCTGCGCCGAGCACGGCATTTCCCCCGAGGGAGTTTTAGAGGAGTTTGCCACCGACGGCCAGGACCGCAAGGACGTGTTCTTCTACCAGGCTGACGACGAGCACTACATTCCCCGCTCGGTCCTGCTGGATTTAGAGCCGCGCGTCATCCACACGATCATGTCGTCGCCGTACGCCAAGCTCTACAACCCGGAGAATGTCTACATCTCAAAACACGGCGGCGGTGCAGGAAACAACTGGGCGTCTGGCTTCAGTCAGGGAGAGAAACTTCAGGAGGAGGTGTTTGATATCATTGACCGCGAGGCGGATAACAGTGACAGCCTCGAGGGATTTGTTCTGTGCCACTCCATTGCCGGAGGTACCGGCTCAGGCATGGGATCGTTCATCCTCGAAAACCTCAACGACCGCTTCCCCAAGAAGCTGATCCAGACGTACTCGGTCTTCCCGAGCCAGGACGAGATCAGTGACGTCGTCGTTCAGCCTTACAACTCCCTCCTGACGCTGAAGCGTCTCACTCAGAGCGCGGACTGTGTGGTTGTACTGGATAATACCGCTTTGAACCGGATCGCCGTGGATCGCCTCCACATCCAGAACCCTACCTTTGCGCAGATCAACTCTCTCGTCTCGACGATAATGTCGGTCAGCACCACGACTCTGCGCTATCCGAGCTACATGAACAACGATCTTATCGGTCTCATCTCGCCACTGATTCCCACACCGAGGCTGCATTTTCTGATGACGGGATACACGCCTCTGACTACCGATCAGGTTAGTGTAGTCTGGGGGAGATTGCGTGCTAAGGAGAGGATGGGGAAGGGAGCCGATGGGTTGTGTTGGGGAATATGAGAGGATTGCTGAGGGGTGAGGGTTCATGGGAGGGGAGAAATCTATGAGATGGGTGCTAAGGAGAGGAAAGGGAAAGATATCGGTGTTGAGGAGCTGGTTGAAAGTCGGCCTTAAATTTGTATTAATCCTCTAATTCTTTGCTCATGTCAAATCGAATCACGGAGCTATTTTCAGAACTACTAACACTGAACATTGCGTCTCCCCATGCTCACCAAACTATCTCCCTCTCTCCACGTTCACCCTCGCCTCCCCCTCACCAACAGGTGGTGACCTCAGTTCGGAAGACCACCGTCCTGGACGTGATGCGTCGCCTGCTGCAGCCCAAGAACATGATGGTGAGCACGTCAGCAGAGAAGAACCTGGCGCACTGCTACATCTCCATACTGAACATCATTCAGGGGGAGGTGGACCCCACGCAGGTCAGTAAACTTCTGATCAGATCAATTCAGATGAGATGAGATCGGTGTACCTAGTCAAATTCGAGGTAGTTTTTCTTGCCGTAGTTTTTTCTCAAATATTCGTAATACGTGCTTGTCGCTTGGGAAACACAGCGTCGTTGTCGTTCATGCAAATTATTGACGGATATGGCTGGACCACGAATGCTATCGACGAAAACATGTTTATTTTTTTCTCGCCGTTTCAATCATGACTAAGTCGGTGACCGTATGCTATCCCAACTCCCAAGGACCGCGGATGCTTCATGAGAGCTTTGTCATGTCATTGTCCGGCCTTGTAGTTCGTTCTCGGCTCCAACACCCCTCCATACCACCTACTAACACATCTCTTCTCACCTCGACAGGTGCACAAGTCGCTGCAGCGGATCCGTGAGCGGAAGCTGGCCCAGTTCATCCCCTGGGGGCCGGCCAGCATTCAGGTGGCACTCTCCAGAAAATCTCCCTACATCCAGTCCGCCCACCGCGTGTCGGGACTCATGCTGGCCAACCACACTTCCATCAGCTCTCTCTTCGCACGCACCCTACAGCAGTATGACAAGCTGCGGAAGCGGGAGGCGTTCTTGGAGCAGTTCAGGAAGCAGGAAATGTTCGCGGAGAGTTTGGAGGAGTTGGATAACTCCAGAGAGGTGGTGCAGAGTTTGGTGGATGAGTATCTAGCGGCCACGAGGGCGGACTATCTGAACTGGGGTATGGAGAGGCTCACGGGGGCTGTGTAAGTGGAGTGGAGTGGAGTGGAGTGGAGTGGACACGAAGTGGAAGTGGTGCACCGTGGTGCACGGTGGAAGTGATGTGGACAAGTGGAGCGCCATAGTCAGGAGTTGTGTGGACACAGTGGAACGATGTCGAGCGATGTGGACACAGTGGAATGTTGTTAAGTGATGAAGAGGTGAGTTGGCATCGTGAGGACTTTCCAAGGAGTGTTGAGTGAAGTTGAGAGGACACAGAATGGGACGCTGTTGAGTGGGCTTACCAGAATGGGAACAGTGAGTGAAAACGCCGAGTGACGGAAGGTGAATGGAGTTAGGTGAGAGATGGTGCCATGGAGTGGATCTCAACAGTCTCGGCAGTCGAAAAGAGTGGAGTGACTAGAACACTCGAAATGAATGGGAATGAGAAGGAGACATTGAAATGCGAACGGCTTGGCTCGAGCTGCTGTTAAAGGTGCGAGGGTTCGACCTGTATTTTGAACCTAGTTCGGGACTGTGAACTGTGCGCCAGAGAGGAAATCGTTGATCCATCCCGGCTCCAGGATGAGGTGCAGCTAGTGGGGGGTTAACCCTGGCTGTGCCGGACAGCTGCCGTCGCCGCTCAGCACCCAGACGCGGTTCATCCAGTGTAACAGTGCTTCCAGCAAGTTAGACGTTACTAACGAGAAGACCCACGAAGTCAAAACTGTCGTCTTGTGGACAGACGGTTACACATTCCGCTTGGGGCGTGTATGGTGGAGTTATAGCTCAGTACTGGCTTAACCTGAGAAGTAACGTGACATGTAACTAAGTGACGTAATGTGTAACATTTGTGACATAAGTGTAACATTAGTGTTGTAACGTGTAGCATCCAACTCGTCGATAAACATTGCTCCATGCGGCCCTGTGAAGTTGGACTTCAGACAGCGACAGTCACGCTACGGACTCTGCTGTGGAGACAAAGTCGCGTGGTTGTAGGTTCTAGCTACCTGGATACACGCTTCGGTGATGGCTTGGCCTGTTAAGTGCGGCTTTGGGTGACGCAGCGTAAGTGTTGTGTGCTGAGGCTTTGAGCGTGCCTGAAAGCTGCGCCGTTGGTGGCTAAGAAAGCTACAAACGCTGGCAAGCTTTTGTGATCTCGCATTCGTGAAAAGCCTGTCTGCTGTCGCCCGTTTTTCGTGCCAAAAATCGGCGACATTCGTAGAAGTTCATCAAAGTCTCGCGAAATTCACCGATGATCATTGCCTTACCAGACGAACGTAGCAACTTGTTTGTGTCTGAAATTCCAGTGTCTTGTGGGCGGTAACACGATTATTGCAGATCTTGCGTGGCATGCTGTCACGCTCGCTTACGGAGACATGGTTGTAACTCGGGGACCGTTGACACCCCTAACTCCACTCGTAACTCGGCTGATGCGGTGTCGCCTGAGGCGCTGGAGTTTCCACGTGCGGCGCCATGGTGTAACAGTGAATTTAACGTGCGTCGTGCCTGTAGTGTCCGATAGCTGGTCGAGGAGGGCACAATAATTCCTGGAATAAAACTCATACGTAGTTCTATTTTTTTGTAAGATAAACACTCACTTATGTTTTATGTGTATTCTCGTAAGAAGTTCACAAATCAGAAACAGTCTTCCGTTATTTCTCTTCAACAATTATAAATATCAACAGGTTAGCAATACTTCTAAAAGTCGTGTCTATTCTACCTTTTCACCAATGAAAGCGTTAAACATATGATAGAAATGCTCCCGCTATCTACATAGCAAACAAACATTGTCTAGTTGACAGACGGGTCACAGCGCAGTGTACATGCAATGGTAATCTCGATGCCATAAGCGGTCGGGACATTGTAAAACGGCGCACTCCAGCGCTCATTAACGTTTTTGTTAGTCCGATGGGTCCGTCATGTCATTCCTAACAGTACCTGCGAAATTCCATCAGTTCGGACTTGATGGTGTAGTATATGTCTATAAGCATCTATCTTGCATACCTAATGAACAGTGACTTCTGCACGCCTTTAAAAGATAAAAAACGACGTCCAAGATCCTCTTGGGTCAATCTTTTGATTGACGCTCATCGCGATGTTTCGACACATCACACAATCCTTCATATGGAACGATGATCCCTAATGCCGGTGAGTTCCTTGGCTGATTTTTGGCACGTGCAGCGCAGTTACAGTCGGGTTCTGCGTCTGAATCCGGAGAAAACTCCCGAGATTGCCGAGGCTAGGGAGTTGAGACCGCCGGTGATGGCATTCGAGGCGTCGGCGACCATTCCTTGCACCTGGCGACAGAAAATAGAACTAGTCGTTACGATACTGCTTATAGAGGACGCGCAGGCCTCAAAGGAATTTGCCCTAAGAGCGAATACTCGAATGACCGATTAATATGTAAACTCGAAGTAAGCACATTTCGCCCGTAATCAAGTTGGCCTTACTGGCGTACATTATTATTGATTGACTTTGACAGCGTTCATTTTTACATAATTGGTTCGAGTACGAACACCGCTTGCTAAATGCAGATCCACAAGTTTATCGTAACACTCGTTCACCCACTGACGTTCCTCTCCTACCGCCGTCCCCCTCTTGTAACTCACCCTCTCGACGATGCCCCGGTTGGTGTCGAGGTCGAGCAGAGCCTGGTCGGCGCTCAGACACCGCTCGTGCACCACCGGCTCGAACTCATTCTCAATCTGGTTGGCAATCAGCATCGAGCTCACCTGAGGTCAAATGCGGGTCAGGGTGAGGTCATACCAGGTCAGGGCGTAGCCATATGCAATTTTCGAAAATTCGTGGCCTGTGATGATGCTAATTTGATGACTTAACGCTATATTTTGAGCATGATTGAGGAACCGACGATTGACAGATTAACATGTCCGTTTAACTTATAGGCCATGTGCCATGTATATAAAAAAATGCAAAGGCTTGCGTCAAATTGAGAAGAAATTTTCTTATAATATGAAAATTGGCATCTCAACACTTCTTGTTATAGCAGACTAGTAAGTAGACGACCATTGGTATTTACCTGACTCATCCATAGCATTTTATCGTCTCCCTTCCCTCTCGCCCCCCCCCCCTCTCTCTCTCTCTCTCCGCCTCTCTCTCTCTCTCCCTCTCCGCCTCTCTCTCTCTCTCTCTCTCTCTCTCTCTCTCTCTCTCTCTCTCTCTCCCTCTCTCCCCTCCGACTCACCCGTTCCACCTGAGACAGTGCGATGGCCGAGCTGTTCTGTTTCCTGCTGAGGAAGTACACATCCCGCCGGTGGTAGAGGGACAGCGCCCCCACCGTGATGTTCTCACATGTGTAGACGGCCGCGAACGAGTCGTAGTCCGTGTCGAGAACGGCGTACTCGGCCACACGCTGGTCTGAGGTCACAGGGGTGGAAAATGTTAGTCGGGCCGGGACATCTTTTAACGAGCCTGGAGCTTTCTGCTGACTGCTATAGAGAACGCAAAATTGTCGTTTGTTTCTGGTGCTTAGGTTCTTCCGCCCAAATGATTTCCAGGGAAGAGGTCTTGTTATTAGAGACGAGGGAAGACGTGAGACTGAGTCAACCACCGGCTGGTGCGCCGCACCGGCCGATAGCGTCTGGTTGACATACCTACATGCACTGGTTTGAACCACTCAGTGCAGTGACCACTCAGTGACCATTCAAGCGGTCACCCGAGGGGCCATCCCCTATGGAGACTTCTCCACTGGTCACGCTCATTGGATGAAAAGAAGACGGTTCAGTTTCCAAAGTGATTCGTTTCTTCAACCCTGAATTCTAACTTACCGCTGGATGAAGCCTGGGGCTTCGGCACGTACTGAAATTCCTCATTCCGTGTTATTTTATCGTGTATTCCTAAGCATTTAAGCAACGGCCTCCGTTTGATCTACGGAATATCGCGTGCTCTCAAACATTCGGAGCATACCTATGAAACAGTGGGTGCCTCAGTTGTGAGCATATCCCAAGGAAAGATCAAAGACATGCCATCCTTTACTAATGTTTGTTCAAATTGGTGCTCCTATGGTTCGGGGCCTACTAGCCGGACCTTCCTGTGACAAGGTCACATATTTACTCGGCTTTCGTGGGGAACGCCGTATCAGTTTTCTTAATTATTTAACCGAGAGTTCAAATGGTTGATTTTCCTGCCGCAAATCGAGGTCCTTGGTTATGCTAAATGTCACATTGCACGTAACCAGTAACTCTTGTTTTGGCATACTAGCTCGCATGTTAGGTAAGGGTATGTTCAAAAACATCAGGATCTTGACGATAGACCGGTGTGGCATCTTGTTAACATTTTTGTCGCATTCGTTTGTAGCTAAGCCGTTGTTGTCAACGTGAAACACTGTTTTGTAAGCCTCTAGACATAGGTTTGTCGCCGTCAGACGATAGCGTGATCGTGAAATAACGTGATCGTAAAAAGGCGTAGTCGTGGAATTGATACGTCTTGACTGGTCTGTTCGCCGTAGGATTCACTGCAAATTAAAACGGTAAAATGTTGGTTTAGTGTTTACATAATGTGTTTTGTCGCGCACAGTTCAGGCCACTAGTTGACTGGAATGGTAGGCTGTAGGTACCGCTTAACACATGCGTTATCAAATAGCAGAGCCTATTATTGTGCTCTCTTTCACGGCACACACGGAAAATTTGCGTGCTATCGACACAGCCTGCACAATTCCAGTCGGCATGGTGGTCTGTGGCTTATGAGGTGTGGAAATACTGTATGCTCCTGGTAACTGAATTAATTACGTCGCATCCGGCTTTTGAACTGCCTAGGGTGCAACGACAACAAATGGTCACAGGGGAGGGGAGGGTGACAGGTGAAACCACCCGCTGGGGGTCACATGACCTGTCATGTCATCAGCCCTCAGCTGAAGACGCAGCGGGTGGCCCCGTCAGAGTCCAGAGAGCACCTGGCACGTTAGTAGGGGAGGGGGGGGGGGGTGGAGGTGAGGCAGCGAATGACCTGTCGGCGTTACGATGACCTGTTTCGCTCTGAGTCTATGGTATTGACTGATAAAATATGTCAATTCTTTCATTCAAACAATCGAGCTAAATTTAAGAAAATTGAAAGGAGAAGAGAATGGTTCCAAAGCGTCCTAAAAAAAACGAAATATTCACGAGGCTCCCTCGAGTTCGACCGTTTTTCCAGGCTTGCTTCCGCCCGTGTCATTTGTTTCTTCACTGTGCCAATTTACCAGAGGCAATAAGTAAGAAAATTATTTAGATCTAAAATATAAAATAACCATGATCGATGGAAACGGTTCTAATTATCCTAAAAATTCTAATTATTTGTTGCTCATTCTCCTCTGCATATATACACTCACTAGACATTAGAAACTCAATTAAACTTAATTACTCACTGTCGTTGAAGGTGGCCACCATCCTGGCGGGCTGGTCGATGTCGAACCGCAGCAGTCCAGCGGCCCGGTACACGTTCGACACACCGAACGTGCTGATGAGACTGAGCTGCTTCTGCTCCTGCACGTGCAGACATCCGGCGCCGCACGAGGTGTAGTTGAAGCGCAGGCACGAGGCGTCCGGGTCGAACGCGCTCAGAACAAACCACTCCCCGACAAACTGAAAGAGAAGAGGGGAGGGGGTCAGTCGAGGGAGTCGAGGGAGGTAGAGAGAGAGGAAAACGGAGCGGTTAGTTGGGAAGTTAAACGGGGAGGGAGAGGATGAGTTAGACGATGACTATGAGCGCTGACGACCTATGGAGTGTGCAGATTGGACGGTGATGGAAGGTTGTCAACTTGGGACAAGAGTGTGTGTGTGTGAGGGGGGGGGGAGAAGGACAGGGAATAAGTCTGTTTACCGGTTACGATTCGTGAATCAAAATTGTTGCTTTGTTTGTTGCTTTGTTTAATTTTCTTCTACATTTTATCTTTCTGCTTTTTTACTATTTATTTTCGATTATTCTTTATTTTACTCTTTATTAATCTTCAGTAGCTGGACCTGTTAGCAAATTTAAACGTTTGTTATGAAACCTACGAAACATTTCGCACTTAATTTTCCGTTGTCATTTGAAGTATTTTCATTACGATGTCTTTCAATTAAAATCGCGGAGATGTTGCGAACGGTATTGCAGTCGGTTCCGGCTCAGTGCGGTATTGGCAGGATGTCACCGAGGTTAGGCAGCATTGTCGGATAGTTTTCGGGTCAGGCCGTAGCTGCACCCGACCAGCCGGCATGGTGAAAGTCGATGTGATCAGCGCTGACGACTCCCGTACGGTCTCCGCACATTACGGTACGATCACATAGGGTGAAGTCGTATAAGAGTACGCACTTAGTGGATTTCTTGCTCTCATTTGTTTAATATTTGAAGGAAAGAAATCGCAAATAGGGAATATTAAAGATCATTGAATTAGCCATCAACCCATGGGGCAACGATCCTTCAGCGTAAATGGAAGTGGTCTAAAACTGACATTTTCTGAACCGTTGCACTTGCGTACTCTTACCATATGGGGTGTGTAAGAGTACGCACGCCAGGCGGGTGGAGTACGCAAGCATATGAACACACACCTATGCAGCTTGCACTGTCCAAATGCTTAACTTCAAACTCAGAAGGCATTTAAGTTAATTCTAGTATCCAAAAAGAAAAACATAAAATAAATCATTCAAGTCTATAAATCAGGAAATAATCATGTCGTGTGTTTCTTTAAAAAATGCACAATTACAAAGGAGAATAACTCGTATTTGGAAGAATTTCGGGTACGCATCTACATCACAGTGCTCCATTGATGATATACCTACAAAACAATCGTCATTGAGCGATAGATTAATAATTCTATATTTCTGTATATTCGATTTAATGTATAATTCTGCGTACTCTTACCCTCCTGAACAGTGCGTCCTCTTACCGTACAAGCAATTCGCGCACCAAACAACCCCAAAACGTTGTGCAAAACTTCGCAAACAGAATATTGCACTGTACAGTATTTCCCCAGATAACCTCATAAGTTTCCCACAACAATCACGGAAATGTACCTTATCTCAACTGCCAAGTATCAAAATTATTGTACCATATCATAATAATATCATAACGCTCGAAAATAATATTCATCGCCTTAAACTCAACAGCGTCGCCGCTCAACGCCCACGTTCCGTTGGTGACATGCACGCACTGGCGGCTTCATGTCACTTCATGAACTCGACAAACCCGCGTTGCTAAGCAACCGAAACAGCTGATGCGTACTCTTATCGCCCGCGTACTCTTACCCGCCCTTACCCTACACGAGGGGTCGCGTCACTTGGTGATAGGATCGCAAATAAGTGAGGTCGGTGCCGGTGACTGGTGCCTAGAGCCGGTGGCACTGCAGTCTGTCCGGCAGGCATTGGCATCTTGCTGTGCTAAGGCGGGACACAATATGTGTGTCACTTTATAAAAGGTGGGTGAGTATGAGTTACAGGAGAGCGTGCTGTGAAAGGAGTTGATGAGGAGAGAGAGAGAGAGAGAGAGAGAGAGAGAGAGAGAGAGAGGGGTAAGGAAAGAGAAGCAGACACACAGAGAGGGAAATGAGAGATGGCGAAAAGGACATTGCAGATGAAGAATGATCAGTAGGTAATCAATGATCGCTGATATCTAACTACGCTCTTGGTTGTTTCACCGTAATGCCTATGCCCAGAACCGTTAACCATTTATCGACGTTGTTTGGAACTTGGAAGTTTATCGGAAACAATGCGAGCAACTAAACACCGTGTACCTAAATTCCAACGAAACGAAAGGGGTAGCACAATCACATCATATCATCTTACATTCAATAATTGTTCCAATGTCAACTGTCAAACAATCTGCTGAAGGAGCATGTTTCCGAATCAATGACAAGTGCTGGAATTTGTAGCGTGCTGCTACATGACAGAGGATATCGGCACGCTGCACAACAGCATTGGGTTTAATTATAATTTAATTTGTAGGTATTTACCTCGGCCAAATCTGAAAAGCATTGCACGTGTGACATGCATGCCCTATATCGTTTGCGCTTATCAGATAGTTGGTAAGGTGTTGAAAATTTATTATTTTTAATACAAACAAGCATCCTGTTGTGACAGCTTGTCAAATTGTCATTAATTTTCCCTTATATGACCGAAGAAGCATCATTTTTGCCTTTTTGGCGGGTTGTGCTTTGGCGCATGAAAATAATTATAAAAAATAACGTAAAAATCCACTTGAAGTTGAAGGTCGATTTTGATGGAACTCACGCTAATGAGGAGACAGAGACGACACAGTGTAGTCGCGCCGTCACGCGGACTGGCGCGTGATATTTTCCGGTTTTTCAATCCGGGTCTCGCCCGCTGTGTAGGTCGTTACCGGTCAGGTCCGTCTACCCCCCCCCCCCCCTCCTATCCCTGAGCTGAGGAGTTGATTGACCGGCATTGCAAGGCGGAGAGATGGGTTTGATATGGTTTGATATTCACAACAATAGGCGAACTGATAGAGTTGGCGGTTATACTAATAGATCATCGGATAAAAAAAGACTCGATGTGAAAGTACTTTAAATATGGATAAAGTACTTTATAGAGCGACATGTTAGCATACTTACATGTCCCAGAGGCCAGAGGTATGCATTATAATCGAAATATCTATGGTAACGTTTCTGCGAATTTGTGAATCATCGTCTTACATCGTCTTGCAAGTGAATATAAAAATTTCACGCACTTGAGGTAAACGGTCGTCGGATTTTCTAAGCATGCAACATCACCTGCCTTATCCGTCGGTCTAAAAATATCTTATATAATAAACCTGTTCATTTTTACTGCAACCATCTTTATAATCCTCGCTTATAGCCATAATCCATTCAAATAATCTCTGCTATCCTTGCATGCTATCTGGGACACTTGCGGCGTATGTTGGCCGTTTCACAACAGGGAGTGGGTGGGGACGAGGATCCCGGTTTTTGTTGATTCACCTTTCGTCGTCTTCTGTGTCTCGGACGTAGTGAAAGGGATTCCGAGTAACCACTCTGAGTTTCGCAGAGTGACCACTCTCACTCGGTGAGTGACGGACGGAGAGGGGATGAGTCGGGGCAGAGGGAGGGTGACGCACCTCCGGTTTGGATAGGGTGAAAGGTGGGGTTTTGTGGTGAAGGGTCGTTCTTCGTGGAATGGGTGGAGGCGGGGCGTAATTCGGTGAAGGTGCGTTTTTCATAGTCTAGAGAGGTCAGAAAACATTCCCTTGGTTGTTAAAGATGTGCTTGTTTTCCTAGAACCTTTTTTAACAGCTCTTTTTGCATATAGACAGATGATATAAATTTGGGGTGCTTGTTATCGGGAGCTAATTTATGTGAATATTCTAACAAGCAGTCAACCGCACTCATTTATACCTGTTCGGGCAGAGCGTTGGCGAAGCAAAATAGAAGTTCACGCATTATGCGCAGCACCTCGCCAATTGGTCTTGTTAGAATGTTTCATTTAACGGTTTAATGAAGAGACTTTAATTGTCCCTTTCGGTTTCATCCTGCATCCATAAATTAAGGTCAGTCACCTCAGATTAAGTACAATGGTTTAGCACCCATAATCACGAGGAAAATAATTAAATAATGATTTATAAGGCAATCATAAACCCAAATAAACCAAGTAAAACTGCACATGTGTCTGTCGCGCATACCGGGTGTTCAGTTCCAAAAATCACAACAGGTCACGCCAACATCCCGCTAATTATCCTGCAAAACCTGGCCATTGATTTGTTTTGAACGGGTAAATATTGGCATTAGGCAGCCTTTTTAGGGAACGTTCCGTAATGTTGGCCGATTAATTTGCATCGGAGACAGACAGCAGTGTAAGAACCGGGAAATTCGCACTGAGGTGAGGTCGACCACAGAATGGAGCCACCTGGTATTGGCGCCGTATGGTTATAACCGGACATATCAAGATTATAGTTCCTAACGTATTGTCATTGAAGGTAACAATTGAAGCATGAGGTAGCCCGCTGCTGCATGTACCCAGCATTTATCGGACCGTCTCAGTGGTTTCGCCTTCTTGCTAAAGTATTGACATTGCTAAGAAAAGATACACACTCTAGTCCTCTATCCGGTTGTATTTTCTTGCGTGATTTATCGATTGTCCGACTCGAGAAATCTATGTCCCAACACGTTACCACATACTATATCTACGGTTCCCAATAGTTAAAACAAGCTGACAATAGAGAAGGTTCAGCCATGCCCTCTGCGGATTAAATTATTCATACGGACATCTTATCGCGGTGCGAAATATTTCCGAACCATTTCCGACTCGAATTTATTGTTACTTACCCTGTCCGGCTCGAAGTTTTCCATGGTCGAGTTGAGAGGTTTGCATGTTCCCCGGTGGTTGACATGAGCTCCGACCAGCGAAGCCGTCAGCGAACATACCAACAGCAGAAGTGCCGCCATTCTGATCCTCTGTGCGAAGGAAATAAAGGTCAGGTCACCAGGTAACTCCATGTGTGGAGTAATGAAGGTAGGTTAAGGCGCATTATACTCGTACGTAACCAACCTCATGACCGAGTTATGAGCTTGGTGGCAAGTTTGACCGAGGCATCGTCAGGACAGCAGGCCATAATATGAGACAAGCGATGGAAATAGAGATCAAAGTGCAGAGTTTATCACGTCGAATTGTCCGTCACAAAACCTCAGAATTGTGTACCTATTCCGAACGCATATTAATTCCAATATCGATCAGCAAAACCAAATACAGCAAAAACCAAAATAGTTAGGGGTTTACCCAAGAGCCAGATTGTTCAACCTTTCACGACCATCGGAATTCAAATGATGGTCACCGAATATGGGTAACTATGACATTACGAGTAGCAGTAAATGAGCGAACTTTGCGGTCGCTCGGTTTCAACCACAGGTTTCCCAGAGACTCACGGAACCGGTAGTCCTGACCGGTCCAACGAGACGAGATTACTTCCGACTCGGGCAGAATGCCGTTTGGAGTCGTAAATGCCGGATAGTTCCGTTAGATCGCTGTTGCATGGGCTGTCATTTGGTGCTATCAAGTCAATGACCTCCGGAATTTCGGCTGACGATTATTGAGAGTTGAGATGATTGATATAAAATGTAATTGAAGACAGGTGCTGCCATACCGAGCAAACTGGTTCGTACATCACAGCGGACAGAATCCGTTATGAAACGGCGCATATTTTACGAGTCGATTTCCGATGGGAATCGCGGGGGTCTAGGTACTATTTTCCGGGTGCGCCGTGTCTTCATTATTTTATACATTTTTTAAAAACAAAATATGAATTAGCCACACCTGACACCTTCCAATGCTACATGTTGTGTTATCTGCCGTGCCACGAACATTAACAAACAAACCAAATACACCTATAAATAAACAACGATAATTTAATAAATCCATGAATTAATTAACACCATGAATTGAGTCACTGACCTCTCGTGCAGATGTCCCGCTAAATCGCGTCCCGTCCGACTTCTATCTCCCGCGGTACCGGTCCTCCGCTCCCAACTGTCCCACCGTAACTGAGGTGCCCCACTCTGCAACTCACGTATACAACTCAAACACAACTCACCGGTTTCTGACGTCCCATCCAACGCACCACAACCGCGCTGTGGCTTTGGTCACAGCGGATTCCCCGAACCCGGTGAAATGTCCACTGGTCAGCCTTTCTCTACGGATGGTCCTACTATGGCTTTGGGCACGTCACACGGTCTTCAAGCCGGGTTTGACTGCAAACTGGTCAGTGGCTTTCTCGCTACCCTGTGGCCGGCGGCTGAGGCGTTCTTAGTCACCGTATACCGGTCCGGCGCGACGGTGAGTTGACCGGCTGGGCAGAGGCTGTGAGGGGGAGAGGGAGAGAGGGCGGGGGCGGGATGGTAAATGGGTCACTGCGAGTCACCTGGCCGGAAGGAGAGAACACCAGCACAACGGGCACGAGGCGGCACGCTGGTGTCATTTTTCGGGAGATAGCGGGCGGACGGCCGGAAAGGTCATGCAAAATGTCCTAATGAAGCGGAGGAATTTAGCAGCCATGATCGAGTGATAATGAGCGAACGACAGGTAAATATTCGTGCCTGTTGGGTATAGAGTTTCACGCTGGGCAACATTTCCTGATAGTAAGATTCATTCATTAATTAGAAGTGAGGTAAACGTGTGTTTTCTCTCCCAAGCAAATTTAGACAACTTTTTCGTATGCCGTAACTAGTGTCGTATTCTTCGTGAAGGCATAGAGGTAGGCTGACTCCAAGGATAAGTTGCCACATCAACATAACTCTACCAGCTACCGAAACAAAATACTACACTGCTTTCCCTAGAATCGCGATCAAAACAGGAGGCCCAAGAACCTTGGTTTACCATTAACAACATCGCTACATTCGGGTCAGTGTGTAGAGATGTTACAATCATCCTCGGGGTTCTAATCAGCTTAGGATTCGTACCACTGCGACTTAGGACCCCCTAGCCACGGATTACAGCCGCTGATTGCTGCGGATTACGATTTCGGGTCGCCACGGTCGCTCATTCCGTTCTTGTTCTGGCAAAGCTGAAGAGTGATAATCTCCGATGTTTTTTAGGGGATGCATGAAGTGTAAAATTCCTCTGCTTGTCCGTCTAGTCTATGCTGTCTCCTTCCCAATGGATCGAAACTTGTCACATTTCGTGCAACTCCCGAACGTTTAGATCTATAGATCAACTACTTATATCAGATCAGCTTGGTCCTTGTTTATAATTTTCTATCCCATCAAATCCATCTATCATCACAGAAACTCAACTGGCTTCATTCCAAAAGTTCTCAAGTCATTAACTTTTCTATCGATGATGTAGCATCATGCTATCTTTGTTCTGCGTGTTGTTGCATACCTCTAAACAACCAAACATCAACCTTCAGTTCTTTATGCCCGATATAGTTTAACCCTTACTTCGATAAATGGACACATGTTAATTTTTAAAATTTTAACGGTCTCGACGAAAAATTGGCAGGGAAGATGGAATTCACTCAGCATTATTGTCCGAAAATAGGTAACTTCATAGAACAGTGTAATCGAAACGATGAACATCCTTGCTAACGATGAGCATCGTTGATTAACATCCTTGAACAAAATTCATTTATCATGATGACACTTGATCATGTCGCTTGGTGGGTCTATCGGATAAATCGAACACAATACAGGAAAACGACATAAGAAGTGACATGCCATCCGGGCTGATGAATAATGGGTCACCTACCAAACAAATCGGCACATTGGTACCTTTTACATTATGTTTTATAATTATGTTCACATATATGGGGTTTAGCTTTGAAATAACACGTTTTATTATATGGTAATATCGCGCGTTATGCAACGTGCTCCGGTACATTTAATTCATTTCATTAAAGGGACTATCCCACCTTCTAAAATGTTGTTAAAACCAGTTAAATTGTGCCCGACTTTATAGATTGGATGACCAGGAACACGGTTCTGGCATTTATTTTTCATTAAACATCTTAGGCTTCCCATATTCCAAACACAAACTTTCAAATATGTGACGTCACAGCCCAAAATTACCTCCTTCCCCAGGCCACATTACTGTCATAAAGCTGATTCTTTTTACTCTGTAGGCACCACAACAAAGTTCAGACCAAGTTTTAAGCGATTTTTCAACGGACAAACCCAGTGGCGTAGCCAGAAATCAGCGAAAGGGGGGGCCATGGTGCCCGAGGGGGCGACTTTTTCCCTTGAGAGGGGCGCCATAGTGAGCTAGTGACAGGGGGTCAGTCTAAAATGTAACGTCATATATTCATGCGTGATTTACTAGGTGTTACTACGGAACCGGCACGAGTATCAGAACCAGGTTTCGCTGATTTTTCATAAAATCCAATTATTGCAATTTGCAGCTCAGTGTTTTTTATCAAAAGCGATAAAAAATCTTTATGCATATTTAGCACGATATAGGAAACGAGCTCAGGCTAAGGACATGTTATTCTCAAAATACACACCCATTCGAATTCGAAACGGTAAAATATCCGTTGATCGATTGGCACAATCTTTATTCTTTGCAAAAAAAAAAACATACAGGTTCACTCACTGAACCAAAGTGACCTGTGGACTGCAGCCTCTGGTCGACCGGGGTGGCCGTGCTTAGAATCTCAGACACTCATGACTGCATGAGTGCCAGATGGGTGAGGCGTGAGACTGTCCCATATAGTGGCACGAAGGTTAAGAATGTCCTCGGCCGGCGTAGTATATAAAGAAGACGACTTTTGATGATGTGAGTGTGCATGGTCGACTTTGAATAAGTGCCATAAAAACCTGCTGATCTCACCGAACATTCGCCTTGCGTAATCCCCAGACCAAATATCTTCATTGAGGGCCAGGTCAATTTTGCGACCTCTCTATAAGTACCTATAAGTTACCGATTACCTATAAGTTAACCCGCGCCGTGCTGGTGGCCTGTGCTTTCCGTGTCGTGCTGGGGGGGGGGGGGGTGTTTTCACGTCCCCCCTCTTACTCGGCTCCTGGGCCACGTAGCGACACGCGGTAAGGAGAAATCGAAAGAGCGTCGTTTGTTTGTTTATTGGGGCTTAAGGGCGCGCCGACTACAAGGTCATTTTGCGCCCATAACTATATACAAGTAAAGCAAGTGTGTCACAAGAAAACCGACGTAATAAAAGGCTTAAAAAAGCCTAAAAGCTGGTTAAAAAGAGCAAAGAAGGGTAAAATACTCCAAGCGTATCGTCAAAGACAGCTGACTAGGCGTAAGGACTAGATTAGAATAGACGTATGGACTAGTTGGTTTGGTATCAGATCGAGTAGATTACTTGGAATTTGATTGAACGGATAAAGGAAAAGATGTTGCCAGATAAAACCCAGGGTGACTCGTCACCCAGCAAGTGGCGGACGGTGATATCCGGAGCGATGCGGCCCAGGTAGCGAGTCCGGTCCGGTTCCAAGCGTCGACAAGATAAAAGCACGTGGGCGACGGTGAGAGGCACGGCGCACCCGCCGCAAACGGGCTGCTCATCTCCGCGGAGAAGGTGGCCATGCGTCGCATACGTATGACCGATGCGGAGCCTGCATAAAATCACTTCGTTTGACCTGTTGTCTTGCGAGCAAGACCTCCAATGCTCCAGAGTCGGCTTCACCTCTCGGAGCTTCCTGCCTCCACGCAGGCGCCACTCTGCCTGCCACTCCGTTAGAATAAAAGATCGTACAGCAGGGTAAAAATCACGCGCCGGCAATGGCAACCGACGAGTGCAGGGTGCTGCAGCAGCACGCCTTGCAGCCGCGTCTGCCAGCTCATTGCCATGAACGCCAACGTGACTGGGAATCCAGCAGAACTGAACAGATTTACCCGATTGTTCTACTGACTGAAGCCGAGCTAAAATGTCTTGAACGATCGGGTCGGCTGGATTAAAACTCCGTAGGGCCAACAGGCTGCTTAGGGAGTCCGATAAAATCAAGTAAAAAGGTCCGTCCGATACCTCAATAAAACACAAAGCCTTCTCGATGGCAACAAGTTCCGATGAAAACACCGAGGCAAAAGATGGCAACGAAAATGAACGGGTATCGTCGCCAGCGACGAAAGAACAGCCCGCTCCCTCAGGTGTTTTAGAGCCGTCTGTGAATACAGGAATAAAACCATCGTAAGAGGCAAGGTGTTCCAAGGCTCGGACTCGTGCCTCTGCAGGCAGCAACTTGCCCTTTGGAACTGCAGAAAGCGAAAGATCCACCTGTGGACTGACACTTTTCCACGGTGGAGGGGGCGCAGCCCAGGTACGACGAACGTTACGCAATGCTATGTCAGCTATTGAAAACAGTTCTTTCATGCGCACTCCGAACGAGGGTCGTAACCTTCCGTTACATCGGGTGGCATGCCGTGAAAAAACGTATGGGTACGTCGGGTGCATAGGAAATTGGCGCAGTTTCAGCGCGTACCGCATACCCAACATCTGACGGCGGAGTGAAAGTGGCGGTTCATGCGCCTCAGCAAGAATGCTGCTCCTGGGCGAGGTGCGGAATGCTCCGGTGGCTACTCGGAGTGCTGCATGATGGACTGTATTCAGGACCCTCTTGCTAGATTCACTCGCTGAATCGTAGACAAAAGAAGCGTAATCTAGCTTCGATCGTATAATAGATCGATATAGAAGAAGAAGGGTCCTGCGGTCCGCACCATAAGATGTGCGGGCGACACATTTTAAAACGTTCAGGGATTTAAAACATCGTTCCCGAAGCGTTCTAAAATGTTCTTTATACGTTAAACGACTGTCAAAAAAGATCCCAAGAAACTTCGCCACCGGACGAGTAGGAATCACCTGTCCATAGAGCTGGATTCCCAAGGGAAGGTCGCCGCAGCGGCGGCGGCAAAAGTGCATAGCGACGGTCTTCGTTGTTGAAAAACGAAGACCGTTGTCACGACTCCATCTCTCCAACCGCGTCACTGCAAGCTGCAGCTGTCTGGCCATATGCCGAGCGCTTGAAGCGGCAAACCAAATGGCAAAATCATCCACGAAGAGCGATCTACCGATCGAGACCGGCAGATCATCGAAAGAGCGTCAAAAATAATGAC